ATGCTTTGGACCCAGGATACCCTGGATGCTGAGGATGCTCTGGACTCCAAGATGCTCCGGATGCTGGGGATGCTCTGGACCCCTGAGGCTCAGCTCTCGCCCCCTGAGCTGGACTTGGCTACCTGCAGAGCTGGGTCCCCTGGGGCAGCGGGGCCCCACTGAGCCGCTCGGTGCCTGAGCTCTGCTGCTGCTGCTGCTGCAGAGACAGCAAGGAGAGGCAGAGCAGCCCTGAGGCGAGTACGGGGATGCTCCCAGCCCAGCTCACCCGTGAGGAGGAAGACGCAACACGCAGGAGCGTGGGAAGGTGTCTCTCCCCTGGCAGAGGTGCGTCCAGCATGCAGGGGTGCGTGTGAGAGTGTGTGTGTGTGTGTGTGTGTGTGTGTGCAGGTGCCAGCCAGACTTTTACCTGCTGCTCGGTGATGCACAGAAAAGGATGCAGAAATGCTGATTCGGAGGAGGTGGGGCTGGGGGAGAGGAGGAGATGAAATGAAATGCTAATGAAAACAGGAATCTGGTCGAAACTCCACAAACTGGCAGCCAGAGAGTTCCCTTTTCTGCCTTAAAGAAACAGCCAGCACCGTGCTCTGCCGCCCCTCCACCAGCCGCCTCTGCCAACGTCGGAGACCCTGAGGCTCAGCCCAGCCGGCAGCACCGAGCGCCAGGCTCCATCCTCCGCACCAGTCGATAAAAAAAGCACAATTTTGCAAAGCCAAATAAAAAGCAACAAACCTGCCTGCAATAGCCCCCAGTTGCCTGCTCAGAAAGCAGCTGGAGGCACGGAAAGGACTTGCTGGCTCATTTTCCAGCAATCTGCAGCCAGGGATGGAGGGCGTGAGCAGAAGCGAAGGGAAACGGCTGCGCTCATGCCGGGACAGCCAGGGGTCTTGCCCCTCCGCTCTGGGGTTATTTGGGTTGGCCTCGGTGCAGCCCAGGACCCTGCCTTTGCAGGGGCAACCCTGGATGGACCCACGGCAACTTGCCCTTCGGCAAGTGGGAGGCAACACGTCAGAGGACCCAGCGGGTCCTGCTGTTTTCTTCATCCCTTCCAGTTCAGAAGACTCTTCTGAATCTTTAAGTGCTGGTAGGTACCCCATGCTACCAGCTCCACACTTCAGGGCCAACACCTCGGGGTGCTTCGCAGGGACTGACTTGGTTGGTTTTAATTAGCCAAAAGCTTTTTTTCCCTTCAAATAAATGGCTGTAATTTCCGTTGGGGGCAGATCAGAGCCGAGGGCGCTGACTCCAGCACAAACCAGAGCTCCGTGCGTGTCTCCGTTGTGCCCCTGGCACCTACCCCTGCGGTCACAGGGCCAGACACTGCCAGCTGCTGCCCTCTCCTCCCTGCGCCGCCACCGAAGCTTTCGTTAACACGCTTCCCCTGGGAAGATGCTGCTGCAGATGTGTGGGCGAGTGCCAGCTGGGCACGCCGCACGCCCCACCGGCCCCATCCCGCCGCACCCCCCGCGCCCGCTGCCCAGCTGCCCACGTCGCAACAGAGATCTGTCTCTTTACCAAGATCTACTTTTCTGATCCCCTTTTCAACAACTTTGTGGTGCTTTTCTCAGTGGCTGAATGGGCAATTCAGGTCTCGGCAAGGGACAGGGGAGATGCAAAGCCTGGCTCGCCTCTGTGGGTGGACACAGCCCCTGCGCAGCCCCTTGCCCCCCCGCCAGGGTCTCCGTGCCACTGGAAAGCTCTTCACTGGGAAACAGCTGCCGACTCATACCGGGACAAGCTCTCCTGGGAGCTCATGCACGGCATCTGCCCTCCCTCTGCTTCCCCAGGACCCTCTCCTTGGATGCTCCCAGCCAAACCTCCCCGGCCACCTCTGCGTCACTCGGGCCTGGCAGGCATCCCAGGGCAGAGCACACACACGCGAGGCTCTGATCGCAGCAGGAGGTTTCTTTAGAAAAGCTCTTGTACCAGGAAACCCTCACTTCCTCGTCCCATCTGTGCTGGGAACAAGCAAGACAACCCACCCTAATCCCACACTGCGGCAGCCTCCCCAGCGAGGATAAATCAATGCAGCAGCACAGACTTATCCCAGCTGGGTCCACGCTAGTGCTCAGCGAGGAAGTCAAGCCATGAGCTTCCTCCTCCACCCTGCTGCACCCCAGCCTGAGGAGCATCTCCGTTTAACTCCAGAGCTTTTGCCTCAAAGAAGGAGACTGGATCGGGAGTGTGTCCTCCAGAACTAGGTACGTAGGAGGTTTTGAATGCTTGGTTTGGATGTGTTCACTGGGGAAGTTGAATCTGAATTGATCAAAGCAAAATGTGTTTTAAAAAACCTGCCTTAAAATGAGGTCCAAATCCTACCGTTGCCCCTGCAAAAGCTTCTCTGCTCCGTCAGCTCTGCTGGCCTTGTGCTCGCTCCCCTGCGCTGCGTTTCTGGACACATCTGCAGGGGATCATGGTTTCCACCAGCTCTGCTCTCCAGTACCACTAGCAGGGAAAGCAAAACCAGGTTGTCAACAGCCACCCAAATGTCAACATGGCAAAGAAAGGGCTGGTGAGCTGGAGGGAGTAAAACTGGAAGGCTGAGAGACCTCGGTGAGGACATGCAAGCAGTCCGGTGCTTAACACAGCAGCCTCCAGTCGTGCAATCTACTCTCAGGATCCCACTCCATCCACCAACTGGAGTGGTTCCTTAGGGCAAATTTTGGATGGAGCCTGGCTTAGCTACTTTTGAAACATTTGTGTTTTCATCTGCAAAACAGCCCTCCACTGCCTGCCTCCACTGGAGCTCAGGTTGTGTTGAAAGGAGGTGGAGACATCCTGCTCCGAACACCTTGAACTGCAGCTCCTGGAGGTTACAGGAACAGTCCCCCTGCTAAATCCAGCTCATGTTTTCAGTGCACACCAATAAAAGGGCCACATGACGGTAGCTGGTGACAGCACGGATTTCTCCACCTCTTCCTGCCTCCTGGCTCTCCAATAAAGCTCTCATCTTCAGTAGGACACTTCACAGCCTAAAAAAAATTATCTCAATGCACAGGACACCTCCATCCCTGCCAGGGCCCTTCATTTTCAGCCCATCCCCTTCATTGTGGCAATTGCTGCCTTAACACAAACCCTCTCCCGCTTCACCACCCAGAGAGCTGCTCTCCAAACTTGCACAGAGCCCCCAGAGCCCGGGACTCAAAGAGAAGGGCAGGAAGAGCTGGCTGCTTGCACGGCACAGCCTCCTGTCCCTCCAGGAGCAGAAGGGACCTTCCCCAGGGTTAGGGTCAGACAAGGGAGCATCAGCTGATGGTTTCTGAGGGCACAACCACGCTGGGTGGCCAGGCATCAGTGGGACCGGAGGTTTGCAAGGGCACACTCTGCCCTGCCCAGGGAATGCTTGATCCAGACACCCTTGGAAACAGCCCACTGGTTTTCAGCCAAGGCGCTTGGCTTCCCTCCTCACCCACGAAGGGACGTCCACGTCCAAGTTCGCCTTCCTCCACTCCAGAAGCGCTCCTGGAAGCCATGAACATCTGGATGCCACGAAACACGCTGGATCAAGAGTGTCACCTAGTGGCAACGGAGCTGATAAAAGGTTGCATGATCCCACAGAGACCCCACGCACTTCCCACACAAGTGGGACCCGACAGCCCTCAAACCTCCAGGCCCTTGAGTACAACCACGCCTGGGCGACAGCTGATGCGCAGCTCCCCGTGTCCACATGCAGCCCATATGCTGATATTTGGGATCGGTTTTCCTGTTAGCAGCTCTCCCTCCTCCTCCCAAATGGAATGCAGCAGAAAGCTAAAGGGAAACCATCGCTCTCCCATGCCCTGTTCCCTCCTGCGCTGCTGTCCCGTCTGGTGTCCTGGTGCAAACGGCCTCTCCCCCGTCAGCACTGAGGAGCCTACTGCCAAAAACCAGAGAGGCATCAGAGCACTGAGAAATGGAAGTCAGAACTAATTTATTTAAGAAAAAAAAAAAAACAAAACAACAAACCACCTTGTAAAAAGGAGGGGGAGGCATTGATTACAAGCTCTGGAAGCTCTTGTCAGGACAGCGCCAAAGAAATCAGCTTTATACAACAGAGAGAAAGGGGTAGCAGGAGGGACCCGGGGCCATCCCCCCACCCCGAGCCTCCCCAGCCCTGCACGAGCAGTCCCCTGCGAAGGTCCATCAGCATCCCAGCGCTCGTCCCCCTTCTCCCTCCACCACCATTAAAGTGCAGCAGGGAGAGTGGGGAGAGGGGCTGGCTCCCACCCGGACCACCCCAGCATGAGCCTTCTCTTGGCCTTCCCCTGCGGGCCACGAAAGGTGAAGCCCCAGTGCCCGTGGCAGGATCCATCTCCCTCATCCCCAGAGAGCTACGTGGCGGCCCCAAGGTAAGGGCTCTCACCACCACGGTTCCCAGCAACCTCAGGCACGTGGCCCCAGAGGCGCATCCTGGGGCAAAACGCTCCCCAAGAGCTACCTAATACGAGGGGGTTGGGGTTGAATTAAGATCCAGCGGGTGCCAGGAGGAACAGCGCGTTCATGCTGAGCCCACGTGTCCTTAGGCAGGCAGGGCAAACAGGAGGGAGAAGGGATGCCGCTGGTCCTGCACACCCCAGGAGAGACGTGCATCTCTTGTGGGACTGTGCAGAGGCTGCATCCCTTCTTCATCCACCCCAGGAGATGAAAAAAACAGAAGGACTCAGCAAGGGCTCTACAGTAGGTTCAGGAGCCTGCAGACAGCCCCTGAGGCACCCAGCTCAGCTCTTGCTCTCAGCCAAAACCCCCTCGTCCGGGTTCCTGTTCCTCTCAATATATTATTACTATTATGTGCAAGTAGTTTTGCGTCAGAAAATGCCAAGCCCTCCTCTCTCGTCCTGCAGCTCCAGCCCCATGTCCGCCCCTCAGCCCTACTTGTGCCTCAAAACGTTCCTCCAGCCCCGGGGTATCACGGAGAGCAAAGCGTGAGGGTAGCTATTAGACAGGAAAGACTCCACCACCCCCCTCCCTCCCCAAACCCCGGCCCTCTCCCTCGCACACACCCCCTGCCCGCGCCGCTGGCTGCAAGGACAGTCCGCAAGGGCCAGGTCACTCCTCGCCCTCCTCCTCGTGATGGTGGTGGCTGGAGGCAGGAGGTTCTTCCACCTCCTGTTGGTGGTGGGCATAATGATGGGGGCTGGGACCTTCGGCGGGCATGTTCTCCTCCGCGTTCAGGTAGACGTTGAACAGGGCTCCCTCGTGGCTCGGCTCCTTCCCGCACGCCTGGCAGCTACAGTGAAGTATCTTCTCTACCAGCTTGTCAACCCTGGGGATCTCGTCGTTGCCTGGACAGTCCAGGGTCACCTGGGTGGAGGGAGGAGGACGCAGTGAGCGAGCGTGCAGGCTCAGCACCTGGATGGCCAGCCTGCCGCGAGACTTGGGGTACTCTATGCCAGAAGCGATGGTTTGCCATCCATATACGCAACCCTCCACAGCCAGTCTGCAAGGTGAGAGCTCTCTGGGAACGTCTCCCAAGGTCACAAGCTGCAGAGACCGGGGGAAAATGCACCAACTCAAGCAGGACACTGCTCCCAGGCACTCCTGGCATAGAAAAATCGGTGGTAACCGCAAAGGCCACCCACAAGACACGTTCCTGAGCATCTCAGATAGTTTGGACTAAACCATCTGCCCAAACGACTGAGTCGAAAGCAAAGCAGAGGGCTGAGCCCCGCTCCCTGGGTGCCTAGGCTGGCCTCGGAGGCCGGGCTAATGGCCCTGCCAGGATCTGTGGTGGCATGAAATTGTGAGGCCTGAGGGTGACTGGCAGACGGGCTGTGGGAAGCACTTCTGGACATTTAAGAAGGCAAAAACTCCCAAGTGGGAAGAGGTGACAAAGGGAGTGCTGGAGAGAACAGGCACACGGGATGAATAATGCAGGGACTGACGGGGGATGCTTCTGCAAACAGAGTGATGAATGCATCATTCATCACAGCAGTCACACTGCTTCCAGCAGCCCCTTCCACCCAGGCATCTCAAAACAGGGTACAGTCCCCTGAGAGACACCCTGGAAAGAAACTGCAAGTGGGAAAATCTCAGGGAAGGGGAAGAATTTGCCCTCAAGTGGCGGCAGAGCAGAGCTGAGAGCCCCTGAGCGAGGCCCTGCAGAAAGAACCACGGAGCAGGCAGGGATACTCACGATTTCCCACATGGACTGGGCTGGCATGCAGGAGTCGCAGTGAACTAGGGACTCTGTGGACTGAGGGAAGGTGTTGGGGACGCTGTAGCTGAAACACTGTCCCAGACAGGCCCTGCAAAGACAACGGGAGGGGTGAGGGCTCAGGGGAGGTGCCTGCTCTTCCCCACAAAAGGCAGAAGGAGACCTGACCTTCCACTGAGGCAGACAGTAGGCAGCCAGGCAGAGGCAGAACATTGTGCCCGGCTTCTTGTGCGAGTGACAGTCCCCCAAGCCACTCCAGTGTCATCAGCAAATGGAAATCAGCTGCATCCCGCTCTGCACCGAGGGTGGCTCCGTACCTGTTCTGGATAGACTTGGACTCGCAGCCGCTGTGCCCCACGATCTGGGTGATGTTCTTCGCCTCGCACCAAGCGCTCTTGTCCGGGAAGAGGGCGAGCTTGTTTATGGGGGGCGGGGCGGCCAGGAGCAGCGCTGGGAAGAGGGCACCAACCACGAACCGGATCATCATGGCCAGCTCTGCCAAAATCCTACAACTGGAGACAGAGAGCAAAGCGTGAGCAGGAAAGCAAACAGGCGAGCCGGTCCATTTCTCCCACCCCGCGGCGGTGCCGGGCTGTGACAAGCAGAGGTACGTCCCCGCAGGGTGTCGGTGCTCGCGTCTCCCTCCACAGCCACTGCTGTGGCCAGGAAGGCTCCCCAAAACACTGCACTAGGAGCGGGACATGCTGCTCCACTTCTTCCCTCTTCCAAACAAGCTCTGGGGCAGGCAGACACCTGCATTCCTTCTCCTGAGCTTTGTGCCAGGAGCAACAGCAGGCTTTTCATCATTTCCCACCCAAAGCTGGGCTGGGAGAAGTTTGCAAAACCAAAAGCGTCACCGCCACGGAGCGAGCCAGGTTGGAGAAGGCATGGACCGCAGAAATGTTTTTATTTGAGGAAGGAGCAGACTTCCCCACTTCCTTTTCTCCCACCTTAAAAGCCAAAGCTGGCCTTGCTGCAAGCCTTCTCAGAGGAAAGGGACCGATTTCCCAGCAAGGAAACCCTCTCTCCTCCTGGAAGTGCGCAGCAGGTGTCGCTGCAAGGCAGCAGCAAGCAGGGAGACGTGGAAACCTCCATCCAGAAGCTAGAAACCCGCCGAAAAGACCAATACAGCATTTATTTTGATAGAGCCACTCAAATTCAGCAAACGGTTACTCTGGGGACGGGAACTCAGTCTGCAGAAAAGGGGGGTTCTTTTAACAGCAAGCATAAACCTCGCTGGCAAAGGTGGTCGGCGGAGAAGGTCACTGACCACCCCCCAGGGAAATCCCACACAGGGTTTCCTTGCGGGCCAGCTGTATTCTCGAGCCAAGGTGCCTGCGTTAACACTCCCAATCACTGGGGAAAGGCAGATGGAAAAGCACCATAGCAATAGGGAAATTTTTTCCTTTGTGGGGTTTGGATGGAGTCATAGCGAAGGGCAGACATTTCTACTTTCTAAAATATTTGTTAGAACCATGCTATTTGTTATTTCCTTCTGTTTATTTATCCAGACAAAGATCCAAAGCCCACACTGGAAAGACTCCTGTTGATTCCCATGGCCCGTGGGCCCAACCCTCTAACGCTTGCCGGGGAAGGAGAGGAAAACTGCCTTGTTTATCAGCCGCCGGTGTGGGAGGCAGCTCTGCGTGGGGGACTCCCAGCCGGGCGTTCCCCTGATCGCTCCGTCTATCTGCACAGTCTTCACCAACACATCCTCAGCTGGAGGACCACCACGTTTATTTAAATGACTGAGGTGGCCTACTAAGCACCTCTCACAGCTCCAGCTCAGGTATTTTAAGGTCATTATGGGGCAGAGGGTTTTGCCCTGTTACCCCTCCACTGAGCCCAACCTCCTGAATCTGCATCGAGAGAGAGATTCTTCCCCACCCTCCATCCCAAGGCAGCCACAAAAGGGCACCTTCATTCCCTGGCCCTGGGACCTCTGGAGGAATCAGTTGGGGTCTCTGCTAAATTTTCTGACTTCATGGTGATACAGGAACCACAACGGTGTAACGCAGCGACACCTGCATAGCCCTGGCTTCCTCATCCTCCCAGCACTTGTTCACGTTTGAATCCCACGGGTCCCTGGTGAGAATACCTGGACAAAGCCGGGTTGGCAGGTCTCGGTTTGAGGTAAGCAGAAGGTTTTTGCTCCTGAACTTGCACTGCTGTTAATGAGAGCGGTGTGGTTAAATACATTCGTCCTGAAGACAACTCTTAGGGCTTACTTCTGCTCCCTGAGGCTTTTTTCCATTTCAGTGGGGCAATTCTGCAATTTCTGCTAAGAAGAACACGGCTAAACTGCACACACACACACACTTGGTTTGCTTGTTTTTCTGCAACAAGCACCACTCATTCCTCAAATGCCAGCAGCTCCGTGCTGAGGAATCCCACTCCCAAAGGCAAGTCCAAGATCAGAGCTGGGATGTGACCCAAACAGCAATCACAACCCCCTGGGGAACAGCCGAAATTCCTCTGGAGTCAGCACACAAGTTCACTTCCACAAGCCCGATTAGAGAGCAATTTCCTTCTTTCCAAAGAAAGGTGGTGGCTGGTTTTTTTTCCAGGTTGCTATGCACCTCTACCCAGCAGCAAAGAGGCAAACGTTTCTGTCTGCGCTGACAGCCCTGCTTCCCCGGGATCTTTTTTCTTTTGCCTGGAGGGAGGTGTTCAAGGGAGAGGTGTTTCTGCAGTGCTGGTCAGAGCAGACCCACTGCCAGAGGCGTGAAGGATCATCTCTGAGCATCTGGGCTCCTGTCTCGCTCTGCTGTGGAAATGAAGATGAGCGAGGTTGTGCTCTGCTAAAGCACAGGACCTGGCCTGGATTCAGGAAAGCACTTAAACATATGCTTAAGCCCTCTCCTCTCCTCAGCAGCGATGTCTCGTAACCAGGGCCCCTAGCAGCACGGCTGCTGGTCCAGTTTGCAGAAGGGCAGTGGCGAGGAGGGGAACCGGGTCCCTCCACGGAGCTGGAGCAATTCCAGCTCTACCCCATTCTTCAGGGCGCTGGGGTGCTGCGCGCTGCTATCCCCCACTGACTTCAGCCTTCAACAGCCCACATCCACACGGTGTTTTCCCTTTCCCAAGAATGCCCTGGAACCCGCAGGGCCACATTTCTAGTAAGTAACAGGGTTTATGCCAGTGCCTAGGAAAACATCTGATGCAGCTGAGTTTGGGAGGGAGCTGGGGCTGGAAAGAGCCTGCTCGCAACCGCAGCGCGTTCGCTGGCATAGTTCAAACCAGTCATGCGAACAGAGCTGCCACTAAAACCATTCATCTGACAGCAGCCACAGGGTCGGAGACAAAAGCACCGTGTTCCTTCTCCCCCCGGCTGGGAAGGGAAGGGAAAAAGGAAGACAAGGCACCCGAGCAGGTTTGCAAACTCCCGATTAAATAAAGGCATTGAGCACATTCCTCCGTGACAAGCTAAATTACATGTTGCAGCCCCTAAAGGAACAAGTGTGTGCTCCCCGCTGCTGACCCCGGCCCTGGCCTGCACTTCCCCGCACACAGGGGCTTCTTTCTCTTCTCCGCACCGGGGCACTTTTTTTTTTCCTGCTAGTCAAAGCTTTTCAAGCAGAAAGTTCAGCTCAGTTCCGGCAGACCCATCAGCCCGTGAGGGTCTCCCCCCTCTCCCTCTGCAGGGAACCGTATGGCAGCTTCCTCCGCCACCCCTTCAACACGCACTTGAGAAATCAAATGACTCAGCCCTTGAGCCTGGCACATCCCGGACTCTGGAGACAAACAACTTCTCAGCGCACACACAGCTGCAGCCTTGTGGTGAGCGGCCCTGGAGCCCTTTTCCAGGCTCTCCCCATGCCCGAGGAGCTGAGGGGCAGAACGTCCAAGGCTGATGGGTCTCAGCTCTGCCAGCTCAGCATCCCTTTGATGCCCGGAGAGCCTGGCAGGAGCCCTGCCGATGGCTGAGCCTCCCATGAGCCTGGTTTTGAGATCTGGTGGTAGCACGCTCAGATGTTTTGTGTCACCTAGAAGAGCTCCTTCCTCCCATCCCCGCAGTCCCAGGGACTCCCTCAGGAGTCCCGCAAGCAGGACAGTCCCCGCCAACGCCTGGAAGCAGCTGGGAAAATCTACATCGTTCCATCGGCTGGAGGACAATCACGGGAATTACCTCGGAGGCCATGTTCCCACCACCCAGCCCACAGCTGTTCTCAGCCATTTGGAAACCAAACACTTCTGGAGGAAAATAAAACAGATCTAATCAGCTTTACCCTCTTTTTCCAGTGGGAATTTTATACCATAATACAAGGCAAGCATGCAGGTGGACATGGAGAACATTTCATGAGTAGTTTAACATATTTATAGGTATTTTTCTTATCCAGGATCTTGCACTTTTGCCAAATACATAAAACCACAGACACAGGTATATTGTGCTCATGGCCACACACGCAGCATCCCTGGTTCTGAGAGACAAGAAATCCCTAAGCTTCACCAACATTGCTTAGCCAAGGCTCGAAGCCTGTGAACACAGCACAGAAACGGTGTCAGCTCCACGCTGTAGCTAAGGAAACTGAGGTAGGAAGCCAGGAAACGGCCTTAGCCCAGTGCCTGAACCAGTGATTCAAACCCTCGTGGGAGATACGTGAGATCTCCGCGCGAGATGGACAAGATGACCGTTTCAGCTCCTGGTCTGGATCAGAGCTGGGACCTTCACCTTCCTCTCTGCCTCTCTGGACACATGGCTGTCCCGCCTGGCTCTCAAGCTACACCACACCAAGCCACCAAGAGCAACCCTGAGTTGGTGTTAGACACGAATCACAGCAGTACGAGGTCCTGCCTTGGGGTTCAAGTAGTTATTTGTGCCACTTTGCTGAGAAAAGCTGCTGCACGGCGCTGCCGGGAGAAGAGGAGGCCCCAAAGATGCGCTGCTGAGCGCACTGCTCCGTGCCTCAGTTTCCCTGCTTGTAAGGCCAGAGACAGGGGAGCGCCACATGCCGAGTGAGCTGATGGGCGCAGAGAGTGGAAAAGCACAGGGAGGTCTTTGGAACACCAGATTTCCTTCGAGGGAAGAGGCTGCCCTGGGGCAGGAGGAGAGGGGACAGCTGCCAACAGCCCTTGCCCCACACGCTGCGGCACGTGTTCCTCGATGGGAAGGTGCTCGGGGTAAATGCCAGGCTGCAGGGAGTCAGGCCGGGACACGGCTGCGTGGTGGGGGAGTCACACAAGGACACTGTGCTGCAGGGCAAGGGGCTGAAAGAGAAGAAAAAGCTCTCCAAGGCCTCGGGTGGGATCAGTCCTGTGCATGGAGGTGGCCAGGAGCGATCTTGGTGCAGGCAGCTGTAAACGCTAAAAGGCAACTGATTATTTGGGCAAGGAAGCAAAGCCACAGCAAGTGTCTGATTTGGTGGCAATTGGGAAGAAACATGTACCTGTCCCAGAAAGATCCAGGGCACGGCTCTCCTCAGACACAGGATTTTGTCTATACAGTAACTTCTGAATACTACAGGGAATTGCCTCTTAGGGATCTCGACTCAAGTAATATTTGCTTACACGGAACAAAAAAT